TCCCTAACGTGTACCATACATCACATTCAAAACACTTGTTCCCTAACGTGTACCATACTTCACATTCAAAACACTTGTTCCCTAACGTGTACCATACATCACGTTCAAAACACTTGTTCCCTAAAGTGTACCATACATCACATTCAAAGCACCTGTTCCCTAACGTGTACCATACATCACATTCAAAACACTTGTTCCCTAACGTGTACTATACATCACGTTCAAAGCACCTGTTCCCTAACATGTACCATACGTCACGTTCAAAGCACCTGTTCCCTAACGTGTACCATACATCACATTCAAAACACGTGTTCCCTAACGTGTACCATACGTCACGTTCAAAGCACCTGTTCCCTAACGTGTACCATACATCACGTTCAAAGCACCTGTTCCCTAACATGTACCATACGTCACGTTCAAAGCACCTGTTCCCTAACATGTACCATACGTCACATTCAAAACACTTGTTCCCTAACGTGTACCATACATCACGTTCAAAACACTTGTTCCCTAACGTGTACCATACATCACGTTCAAAGCACCTGTTCCCTAACGTGTACCATGCATCACGTTCAAAGCACCTGTTCCCTAACGTGTACCATACGTCACGTTCAAAACACCTGTTCCCTAACGTGTACCATACGTCACGTTCAAAACACCTGTTCCCTAACGTGTACCATACGTCACGTTCAAAGCACCTGTTCCCTAACGTGTACCATACGTCACGTGACACAAGCTAAACCACTTGTGCTTAGATCATATTACACATTCAGTTATATACACAATTATCTAGCAGACACAACACAAAACAGTGTTCAAAGCTGTGAAAAAATGACCCCACTTGAACTTTTACCCCTTCTGTCACATTACAACCATACACTTTATGGTACTTTATTGGGATTTGACAAAATTTGGAAAAGATCAAGGAAAATAAAATGTTTATCTGCACCAAGATGCATGTTTACCTCAGACACACAACACAATAGGACATAAAACAGCAGACAATCAGTAAAGTAGCTTAAGGTTGGATAAAAGAGTGTTTTAGGTGGTGGGGAAAATAAATGTAAAAATAATCTACGACTGTGTTAATCTGGTTAGCATATGAACAAGTTCATAAGATACAGGAGCTAAACTCAGTCTAACTACTGACTCAATCTGCTCAATGTTTAACGTGTTCCAAAAAAATGTAATTTATTGTTGTAAACTATAATTCAAATGTATAATGTGTTCAATTAAAGAGCTGCTATCTAAACGTGCAAATTATAGGCATTTGAAAATGTGACCATATACAGTGGTTTTGTAAATTAAACAACACAAACACTGTTCCCTAAAAGTTTGGCTGAGCGGCTTTGTTTGACCACTGCACCCCGGGCGCTGCCCGCCGCTCCACCAGCGCACCCCGGGGCGCTGCCCACCGCTCCACCAGCGCACCCCGGGCGCTGCCCACCGCTCCACCGGGCGCACCCCGGGCGCTGCCCACC